GCACCGCCGCAGGCCAGCTAGCCCTCCCTCCTGCCTGCCTGTCACCCCAGCCCCCAGCAGCCACTGGAAAAGGCAGTTTCTTGACTTTATTAGCCTGGAGCGCCTCCCTGCCAGCCCCAGGGCCTGGTCCCTGGAAACGGTGGATGGGACTGAGGTCACACAGGTTTGGCCCCCGGCGGCACGCGATGCCCAGCCGGGGGTGCTGGCACTTCAGGTGTGGCCGGGCCGGCCAGGGCACTGTGGTCCTCTTCTGGCAGAGGGTCTGCCGAGGCGGCGGTCCTTCTTCCCAACAGCTGTTAGGAGCAGCTGGTGATCCGGGCCAGGAACTGCTGCGCCCACCACTCGTCCAGGTCGATGGGCACGAAGCCTGCCGGCACAGTGAAAGCCAGCTGAGGCCACCCTGTGCCCAGCACTTCCCCCCTGGAGCTGGCCACACAGCCCACTGGACTCAGTGTAGCAAGAAAGTCCCCTCCCAGCCCTCTGGGCTGGAACCTGGAACCGCCCTGGTCAGGGTCAGAGGGGTCCTCCCCAGGGGAAGAGAGGGGCTGGGGAGGTTCCTGCGGGGACATGGTGCAGCTCACTCTGCAGCCGGGGGTTTGGCGTCCTCTCTTCGTACTGCACGGGCCTTGGCCCACTCTCCTTGGCCTGGCCGCCGTCCAGCTGCTGCTCCACCTGCTGCCAGGCTGTGGGAGGAGGGGACAGTCAGCTGGGCCAGGCCCCTGGCACCTGTGCCTTCCACCCCTGGCCTGGTGGCCACCCTGCCAGATAGTCACAGGACAGGCAGGTAGAGAGCCAGGACAGGCCCAGCCATCGGGGGCTGCGGAAGGAGAGGCTGGGGCTGTCCTGGATGGCATGGGTGGGCCCACACCCTCGGGCCCCTCGCTACCTTCGGACACAAAGCGGACATTCTCCTCGTGAGCGAGCGTGTAGGTCTCTTGGGTCCCCTCGAGGGATGGGGACGTGGCATGGGGCCGCCGGCCATTCACTCGACTGAACACCAGCCTTGGTCCCGGGCTGTGGAGGGAGGGGCAGACGTGGAATGGCCAGGCCCCGGGGCAGCCTTGGGATGCACCCACTGTCCCCAGATGGAGCCCAGCCAGAACAACAGAATGGCCACCTGCAGCAGCCAGTGGCCAAAATGTCCCCGCTGGCCCCAAGCCCCCAACAACTCAGCTTACACGCACCCTCTGTGGGCCGAGGAGGCAAGCAACCGCAGGCCAGGGAGGGCCAGCTCGTGCACTGACCCCCGCAGGGCCCACCTGGTGCCCTCCAAAGGCCTCGCAAGTGCCCGCAGTGCCACCTGCATCCCGCCCCTGACAGCCAGGCCTCGGCAGCCGAGGTTCTGACCCGAGCAGTGACCAGGGACAGGCACTTCGTCTGCCTGACACGGCAGCACGGGAGGGCAGGCGGATGTGACGGGCAGCCTTGGCCTCCCCTGTTGCCCCCAGAACCTGTAGGGATGAGCAGAGTGCCCGATGGAGTGGGCACTCCTCAGTGGGCAGTGAGTGGCCCGGCCCACGCCCCATGGGCCTGAGGCAGGGGGCAGCACTGAGTGGGCAGCCCTGCTGTGCTGCGGAGCCCAGGGTGGGGCGGAGGGAATAGGCCGCACCTACAGCAGGAGGTGGGAGCCGAGTCCTGGGCTGCGCCTGCCACTCCGCCAGGCACACGCGGTCCCGGCCGCCTGCTCGCCTTCCTGGGCTCAGGTGCCCCACCGCCGCTCTGGGTTCCTCCTCAGGTGAGGGGTGCTAAAATAAAGAGGAGTGTCTTGAGGGGCGCAGGGTCCCGCCAGCCCCAGGCTGGCAGGGCCTTCATGTGCACATGTGCAGTGGAGACCAGGAGGCCTGCTCACTGCCTGGGTTTCCCCACAGACGCCAGGGCAGGCGGGATGCTGTCCTCGCCTGCAGCCCACCCCTGGCCCCTGGCTCCAGGAAGGCTCAGGGACTGGACCCCAACTTTAAAGGAGAAAGAGCTCCAGCCAGTGCTGCTGGGTGCAGGGACAGCAGGTGGCCCTGGGCTGGGAGGGCCCTCCCGCTGCAGCCGGTCAGGCCAGGAGCCAGGGTTCCACAAGGCGCTCTGTGGGGGAGAGGGCACGCCCCAGTGTGCACCTGTGCTGCCCCGGGGACACTGGCCCAGCTGGCCCCTGCCCATGGCGCCCGCAAAGGCATTATCTCATTGCCCACTTCCTCCAGCCCCAGGCACACTGCCTGCCCACTCAGACCACAAGCCCGTGGCGTCAGAACTTCACTGTGGTTCTGACCCAAGGCCGCGTCTCGCCTGCTGCCGGCCACCGAGCCGGCCTCCCTGGCGTGTCCTTGCTTAGCTGTGGACCCCACGGGCATCCCATCCTCGCCTGGGAGCTCAGTGCCTGGTCCTCCCATGCCCCACCTGCCCGTAGGGTCAGGCGGCCACTTAACTTTTGACCTCTCCGTTGATACTGCCTCCGTCCCCCTCGCCCTCCCCGCTGCACAGGGACCCCACAGAGCTCCGCCACCCTGGCGCCAGCTCCCAGCCCGGGAAAGTGGGCCCTGCCTGGTGCACGCCCTGGCCCGTTCCCCACACCCACAGGCGGTGGCCGAGCCGTCAGACAGCCACCAGGTTTGGCATCCTGGGGGTAAAAGGGCTAATGGTGAGGTGCGCTGGGACCCCTGCCCAGTCCCAGACAGCTGCTTTGTCGCTCCCTCACCCCTTTGCCGGCTCCAGCACAACTGCCAGCGGGTGCCCCCCCAGCTCCACTTGTGCAGCCATTCCGACCCCGGGAGGTAGGTGGCGTGAAGCCCAGGAGTAGGGGGCAGGCTGCAGTGATCCCCTCATCTATGGCTACCCTGAGGCCACCTTTGGAGTGCGAGCACTGCCCTGGGGCAGGAGCCGCGGCCCTGGAAGTTCCTACAGTAAACGGAAAGGACGCTGCAGGGCTGGAGCCCAGGAGGTGAAAGGGTCCGCCCCAGAGGCGCCGACCTCCAGGTGATAGTGCGGGCGGGGTGGCCAGGCCGAGCAGGGCACCAGGCAGCTGCGGCGCCTCCTCCCGGCGCCCGTCTGCAGCCCGGGTGAGGGCGTCCTGGCAGGGCCCAGGGAGACACGTGCACCGTCCGCTCCGACCTCTG